AAAAAAAAAAAAAAGTAACAAACTGTAGGAAAAAGAATGAACTTCAAATAAATCAAGCATCATCAAAGCTGTCCTAAGGCCTTTATTTGTCCCAATGAGATCTTTGTTCAAAACATGGCCAAAAGGCTCTTAGCCCTGTCTTATGACTGAATCTTTTCATTGCAATTGATGAGAAAGTAAGACTAAAGAGATACATCTGCCCCATTTGTAGCTGTAACCCTACTGTCCAGCAATACATGGACTCTCAATAAATATATGCTGAATCATTACATGGATAGAAAATGGATGGATGGGTTGGTTGATTGGTGGGTCAGTCGATATAGATGGTAGATAGTGGGTGGTAGGCAGATGAATGGATAAATGAATGGATGGATGGATGGAAGGATGAACAGATGGATAGGTGGACAGGTGGGTGGGGTGAAAGACAAGCAAAACATGTTAAGATGTGACAAAAAAGACACTAGTTCCCTTAATCACTATTACTAAAGAAAATTAATTATTCCATAGAAAACTGTTCCAAAAGTGGTTTTGAAAAAGCAGTATCTATGGGTTACCCATATGACAATGTGTTGGAATATGCTGGGGTGTGTGTGTGTATGTGTGTATAGTTTTATATATTGCTCCAGGTGCAGTAAGAGATATATGGGGGAAACATATACATAGCTTCTCCTTCTAGCCTCTAGAAGGAGTCCTAATCTTTCTTATTTTCACTGGAATAAATCAGTTCTCTCTTAACATCAGTTTCTTCATTCCTAGCATAGGACAGCAGAACCTACCACATAGCAGTACTGTAAGGAATTGAGAAGAGCCACATACTTTCAGGATTTAGCAAGGGCCTATTAGGATGTCTCCAGCAGCTACAGGCAACCCTGAGTCACACCGACTTTGAGGCCTGCTAGAATCTGACCAGTCCGAGAAGAAAAGCCTGAACAAGAATGAGCCTACCTCCCACTTGCATCCCACATGCCGGGCAGATGATTTTCCAGGGGGCATCCAAGGTACCTTGGTTTTCACCCGGACACTCCGCCGCACATTCACGGTGTCCCCTTTCATTCCGCGCTTATGAGATTTCTGTTGAAAGGTACAAACCCAGGGTCAGCTCCATGCCCAGCTGGCCACAGTGTCACTCTGGTGGCATCCACCTCCAACTCTGCAGGGGTGCCTCTCCTGACTAAAGTTACTGCTGCTGTTGCTAGATAACAGGCGCCTACCTTCTAACCAGGCAAGTGACTTCTGGAATAGAGTATGTGTCTTCCAACCTCTGGAGTCAGAAGCTGACGAGGAGGCTGGGCCGGGAGGTATCACCCTGATCCACAGCTGTTACCTCGCCCGCTGGCATGCTCCTACCTGGGTGCTGGTCGCTGGAGGTTTCGGGAGTTTTTTTATGTGGACATGGACAGGGGTGTTTTCATCCACGTGTACATGTAAGGGGGGAGTTGAAGAGCGGTCCTTCATGGTTCGCTTCTGGCAGGCGGGGGAGAGCAACACAAAAAAGGTTGATCTGTGGACGAGTAAACTGGGCATAAAAACAGAGCTCATAGTCTCTGGGGAGAAAGCCTAGCCACCAAGCGAGCAGGACAGCAACAACTACTAGCATGCAGGCAGGAATCAAGGCACTGAGTATCATTCGGCAGGCATCCGAAGAGATCCCAGCTGAAGACCACTGGGAAGACCCAGGTTCACACAAGAGAGGGGGTCTGTGAGACCAACCAGCTCTATAAGAGAGCCCAGATGCAGACTCTAGGTCCCCAGAGTTGTACTGCCTTCTAAGCCTGCCGGAATGCAAAGCTCCTCCTTGGATTTGGTGTAGTTCAGCCAGAAAGCAGGTGGATCCTTCTAGAGTGCATGCAGATTAGCATGGGAAATGCACAACATGGTTAGGATGCAGAATAGGACAGCAGGCAGACAAAGACTGTTAAAATATAAAGCCAGCAGAAATGCCAAGGATGAGAAGGTTTTCTAAAGAAACCATGAGCAGGGAAGAACCCCAGCTACAAACCTGTGCCTACTGCCAGATCCTATCCCCTACCCTTAATCTTTTTAAAATTTTCTCCTAGGTGATGGAAATATAGCTTAGTGGCAGAGCATCTGCCTCGCATATGTAAGGCCCTGGGTTCAATCCCCAGCAATGCAAATACATAAACCAAATAAAATTTTTTATACATTTATTTTTCCTTTCCTTTTATCAAATAGCTATCCTAAGATTTTGGAATTTGCCTGGAAGGACAATGTTAAGACGACCCCCTCACAATTGGCAGCCTATTACAGGAAAAAAAAAAATAGTAAGAAATCAGCAGGGTATGCGCAACAGCACTATGCAGAACATTCAGACCAGCAGGGTTCGGAGTTCTTGGAAAGGTATGCAGAAGCATTTCTGGCTGGGTCACAGACCAGAGAGGGCTGCTCATGTGCACGTCACCTACCGTCACAGTTACACTTGGTGCGCCACAAGGTGTTCTCAAGACCTTTTTCTGCGTGAGACTCGTTACTCCGTTCTTTCCACACGATGGAAACCTGCACCCGGGCATAAAAACCAGATTATAAGCAGAAAACTAGGTCTTTCTTATTTCTTAGATCTCTGAAGACTATATACTGCATGTGATGACTAATGAGTTCAAAGCCAGGAGAGCCAATCTAGAATCCCTCGGCTCCCTGAAAATGAGCACCAGACACGCATGGTGCGCCCAGCAGTAGGATGGAAACAAGGAAAAGGGCATTTGTATAGCTGGCCTTTTATAACCTGCCATTGCATCACATGTATTGTGACCTTTTGCTGAGGAGCTTAGCTGTCGTCATCCTGTTAGGTGACAAAAAGTAGGCAGCATCTGAGAGCAGCAAAAGTGCTACTTTGGGAAAGTGTGACCATCTCCAGAATAGTGCCTGGATCTGAGGTAGTGCCTGGAGCTGAGGTAGTTCTGGAGAAATACTCAGTGAATGAATAACATAAAGAGAACAGAGACAGGGCTGGGGTTGTTGTGGTAGAGCGTTTGCCTAGCATGCATGAGGCACTGGGTTCAATCCCCAACACCACATTAAAAAAAAAAAAAAAAAAAAAAACTAAATAAACAAAGAGAACAGAGCCAGATCAGCTGGGAAGGCTGAGGAAGGATTGTGAGTTCAAAGCCAACCTCAGCAACTTAGCAAGGCCCTGAGCAATTCAGGGCTGTCTCTAAATAAAATATAAAAAAAGGCTGGGGATGT